TGCCCGGTTTCTTCCTTAAGGGGGCGGGGCCTAGAGAGAGCAGGGGGTGTGTTTAGGAGGTGTGTGGCTTTGTTTTTCCCGCCCTTTCTCTCCTCCCCTTGCTCTCACAGTATTCGCTAAGGGTGAATGAGGAAAGAACTGATAAAATTTACCAGGAGAAGAGCACAAGGCGGGAAACGACCACGGCGTGAAGGGGGTTCGCGGACGCAACGCGCGCGGGGGCGGGGCCAGGGCCGCGGGGGCGGGACTGCGGTTGCGGTCCTAAGCCCGCGGCGGCGGCGGCGGAGGCGGCGGAGGCGGCGGAGGCGCAGGCGGTGGCGAGTAGGTGAGTGAGAAGCAGGCGTGTAGGTGGCTGTTTGGGCTCCGGGTACCTGGACCGCGCGGGGGCTGCGGCGGAGGCTCTCGCCAACGCTCTGCTCGGCTGGTCCTCTCTTTGCCGCTCTCTTCCCTGATCGAAAGCCGGCATCGGGAATTTCAGCCCGGCGACCAGTGGAGTTGCCTTCATCCGGGCTTTCTGGCAGTGGCGGCGCAGAGGCAGGGGGATAGGGATCGGTCCGTTTTTCCGCCCACAGTCCCCGAGCTGGCTTCTTCTCGGGGTCCCGTCGTGACACTCAGAGGGACCCGTCGGACCCCCTGTGCCGCGGGCTCAAGGGAAAGGAGCCTCGGGCACCGAGAGGCCTGGCCCGGGGAAAACCTGAGGGCGGGCGGCGCGCGGCTGCTCCGTACCAAGTCGGGGTCCGAGAGGGGATAAAGCGGCGTGGCGTGGGGTAATATTACTAGTCTACAGAAGTTTCTAAGGATTGCTGATGTCTTGTAAATTTGGGCAGCAATTCTAGACTGTCTTTTGCTCCCGTTCTGTGGTTCATAACCTGCTTACTTCACTTCTCCGAGGATACACAGACTTACTTAAAGGAAGTGACCATTATGACTTGGACATCACTTGACTGATGGTATCGGTTGCAAAAAGAAGTGCACTGATTACGCGTCTGCTGTGACTACTCAGGGTCTGACTGGCCCCGGTGAACTCCACCAGGCTTCTGTATTCAGGAGACGGGAAGGTCATGCACTTGCCCGAGAGAGATGGCCCTTTCAGAAACAATGAAGTTTGTTAGGCTCTCGTTAAAACAGTCTGGTTGTGGCCAGTGGATAAATTTCAATTCAAACTGTTCTCATCTCTCTTGTGATGCAAAGCAAGGGGACACAATACATCTGGTACTTTAATTTGTACAAAGAGATTGGAAAATACTGTTAGATACGATCTTAGACATTGGAAAACTTTTAACATAAGGGGAACATCACAGAAGCAAGAATACAATATATGGGAAATTAATAATATGGAGTCAGAATACTTGAAGTATGATGGTGTTATGTGACACAGACACTGTTGCCAGCACCTTGGCAGTCTGGGAAAGCCCTGAATCAGTTGGAAACTACCTCATGATGCCTGTTCTCTTTACACATATGAAACAAAACCAAGAGAAGTGATAGACCACATTGCAGATTGTGCACTATGCCAGGACTAACCTGCTCCAAGGAAACAGTTACATGGGGGCTAAAGTGTTTTTTCCCCACCTTTTAAAGTTGATAAAATAGTGTCTTTCTTTGGCCCTGTTAGCAGTTCAGAATTTACTTTCAGAGAGAGAGAAAACCAGAGGAGACTCCTATCTTTCAAGCCTGCCCTTGGGCTCTATTTTAATTAAGTAATTCTAAGGAGTAGTAGGTTAGCCTGCCTATTTGAGAAACTGGAGCTGTGAGAGATGGCCTGATAGTGATATGATGAACTTAACCTCTGAGTCTTGAAGTGTTGCGAACTATCTGGTGTTACAAGCAGATCACTGTCAACAGTTGGTCTGGGCAGCTCCTGTTTTGGAAGGTGGGCTGGTTTAGGATCCTGCTTCCCTTAGAGCTGGGAGAAAATAAACAGAAAACATGGTTACAAGAAGTGTGGGCCTTATGATGGTTGAATTCTGATTTGCAACAGCAGTGGACCAACCAACTTTCTAAATATCAGTCAGAGAAGAGATGGCTGATTTTTAGCAAAGGTTTAAAAAAAAGCAAAACTTCAAAACTACCCCTGTGCTAAGTTGTAACAGATGATAATTAGTATAATCTTTACATCTGCATATGTTGGATGATTTTCAGGAAGTATATTGGGTACATCCTCATGAACCCTGTTTTTTGTTTACAGGAGTGTGGCAAGCCACTGTGTCACCCAATTTGAATCCTGGCTTCCCTCAAAGACTCTTACGGCTTTTGTTTGATAACTGGTGTAGCCAGCACTGCATGTAAATAAGATATATAGATACAAGACTCTTGGTTTTGAACTGATTTTTTTGAGCCATGTCTGTATGTATGGATTTTCTTTACCAAAGATGATGACTTTAAGTGTTAGTAGACTCATTTTACTACTCTCCTAACTGTACTCCTCTGTGACTTTTGGCAGGATTTAAAGCTAAACAATTCAACATAACCTTTGTCCCTTATTCTCTTTCTAATGATACTAGCAATGAGATTGAATGTAATTAGTGGTCTATAATAGTTGAGTTTTCACAATCAGGTAAAAAGTTGTCCCATAATCTAACCATATTTGCTCCAGGGCTCAATTCCATTTAAGAAAGTGTTTTTATTTTCAACATAATGATGAAATGTTTGAGTTGCAGTATTGCCTTTATGATTATTCACCTTTTTTATCCAAAAAGGAAGAACAAAAGAAGAATATGTTGCCATATAATTGTATAGCTCTGTGTTTACTTAATTCGTCTCGGTGGCCTCCAGTTTGCTGTTGTTAATTATCATAGCATCATTACAGTTTCAATTCAGATTATATTCCTATATTCTGTCATTATAAACTGACTGTTTAAATTGTATCCATAACAGTGGATATTTTAAACAAACTATAACAGTGGATATAGTTATACCCAGTGTAGTCTCTTAAGTCTATTAAATTGATATAGCACATTAAAAAAGTGAATATTTCCTAAATGAATTTCTAAGAACTGTTCTTGTGTTAAACCATTTCTGCACATATCCACATACCTACTGTAAAGTGTTTTGCCAAGCACTGTATAACTATTCTTGACATCATGATAAAAGTGCTCATACAGTACTCTAAAATTAGAGTAGTTTTTTGTTGGTTTTTTTTTTTTTTTTTTTGCTTTTCATCAATCTCTGAACTCTCCTGACAAGATGTAGATCAAATTCTTTATTTTAAGTAAAATGGTTTACTTTGACATGAATTTAGTTACAGATAAAATGTTAATTCCAAAAGCAATCATACAGGCAAAGATAGATATCATAGTTCACCTATTATTAACTACTATCCTTTACCATTATATGACGAATAGATTCCACAATTTTAGACTTGTTTAAATGAAATTGCTATTGAATATGCATAGGTATTCAATTTTAACATTAGGCAGGAATGATTCATTTTACATTAACATCACATTGAATGTACACTTTCACAGTGATACGATGGTGTGGGTTAAGATATACAAGAGACCTGGATTCCAGCTTGGCTTGGTGACCTTGGGCAGTTCCTCTTCTCTGTTTTCTCAGTAGATTGAAAGGTTGACCGGGCCCATCCAATCATTTAGTTCTGTACATGTTTTAAATAACTAAAGCTTTTTTACCCATTTAGTATAACTCTCTTTGCAATGATAAAAGGCTACGCTGCTTTCTTGAATAGCATATTAAATGTATTTATCTGTCATTTTAAACACCAGTAACGGGCTTTAGCATCCTGTTTAGCACCCAAAGAGAATCATTGAGTGCATTGAGGACTTTTTGCTTATTTTCTCTTATGGTTCTAGATTGTTGTATTATTGCAAGCTTTTGCCTTTGTTTGTTTTTTTTTCTTAGCAGCTTTTAAGGTTTTCTACTGTCAGGTGTGGACTGCTATAGCAAAGTACCACAAACTGGGTGATGTAAAAATGAGGAAAATGTATTCTCTCTCTGTTCTGAAGGCTAGAAGTCTGAAATAAGGTGTTGGCAGGGGCATGCTCCTCTAAAGGTTCCACGGAAGAATCGTTCTTTGCCTCTTCTTAGCTTCTGATAGTTACCAGCGATCCTTCACATTACTTGGCTTGTTGCTGCATCACTCCAGTTTCTGCCTTCGTCTTCGCATGGCCCTGTTTTCCCTGTCTGTGTGTCTCCAAATCTTTCTCTCCTTGTAAGGACACCAGCCATTGGATTAGGACCCCATCTTAACTTGATTACGCCTATTTCCAAATAAGGTCACATTCACAGATACAGGGGGTTATTAGGACTTGAACGTATATTTTCGGGGGACATAGTTCAGCCCACAAGAAATGTCATGGCCTCTAGCTGAGCCTTCCCTTTCTCAATTTGTTTCTCTCTAGTTCCTATGGTTTAGGAACCAAATATCCAATCATATTAGAATTGCATATAGGCTGGATATTTAGAAACAGTGAGGATCTATTCTATGAGCTTTAGTATATAATATTTTATATTAATGTTCAGAGGCTTTTTTTAAGGCCATTATTATTTTGGATTTCTAAGTGTATGCCCTGAATATAAGTGGCATGTTACTATGTATGGTAGTACATTATCATCATATCGCAAACACTTAATATGCACCTGCCATGCTAGTTTAATGTCTCTTCCATGTAGGAGACGTGCTTCCAGATCGTTTTGACTGAAGAGGAGAAAACCACATATATGTAAATCATCTGAGGGTTTGGGGTTTTTTTGACCTTAGAATGCCCTTTATTTCTTTTGTAAAATTGATTTACAATGTTGTGTTTCTGCTGTACAGCAAAGTGAACCAGTTATACATATACATATATCCACTCTTTTTTAGATTCTTTTCCCGTATAGGTCATTACAGAGTATTGAGTAGAGTTCCCTGTGCTATAGGTCCTTATTAGTTTTCTATTTTATATATAGTAGTGTATATATGTCAGCCCCAAAATATGCGTTTTTGATGGATGGCTTAAAATCGCTGAACCTAATCACTGGTTTTGTTTGTCATTGTTTAGATAACCTTGGAGCTTTTGGATAATGTGACAGTTGGGATGCAGTGATGTCGACTCTCTGTCCACCACCTTCTCCAGCTGTTGCCAAGACAGAGATTGCTTTAAGTGGTGAATCCCCTTTATTAGCAGCAACCTTTGCTTACTGGGACAATATTCTTGGTCCTAGAGTAAGGCACATTTGGGCTCCAAAGACAGAACAGTTACTTCTAAGCGATGGAGAAATAACTTTTCTTGCCAACCATACCCTCAATGGAGAAATCCTTCGAAATGCAGAGAGTGGGGCGATAGACGTAAAGTTTTTTGTCTTGTCTGAAAAAGGAGTAATTATTGTGTCATTAATCTTCGATGGAAACTGGAATGGGGATAGGAGCACCTATGGACTATCAATTATACTTCCCCAGACGGAACTGAGTTTCTATCTCCCACTTCACAGACTGTGTGTGGATAGATTAACACACATTATCCGGAAGGGAAGGATATGGATGCACAAGGTGAGTGGGTTTGGAAGCTTATTAAGCATGCTCACCTAGCTACTGAAAGTTTACCTTCTGATACATTTTTATCTAATTTTTAGAAATTATATGCAATTAACTTCAAACAGGAGCTGTTATTTGCTTCTACCCTATTAGGTACCGATAGATCTAGGCTGATGTCTGTGGTCTTCTAACTGGAAAGTAGGAGATGATAGCTTCACATTGTAAATAGAAAGCCAAAGCTTAGAGAAATAAGGAAACATAAGTTTTAGAGTCTGGATTTGTCTTGGGAGCCTTTGACTCTAAAAGCTTTTTGTTTCTGCATTGCATGACCCTGTCTTTCACTTACCACTGTGTGGGCATAAGCAGTTCAGAACAATAGTTTCGTAAGCCTTTGCCCAAATAACCTTTGGTCCCTTTAATTTCTTTGCCAAGTTCCCAAATTTGTAAAATAAAGAAGAAGTTGGACCAAATGGTTTTCAGGAGATATTCCTTTTAATTTTGTAGATTGAGGTAGAGGAAATCATTGTTGTCCCCTAATCTTATAGTTTAATATATAGTGATAATTATATTTCCATATACTGTAATTTTGGCAGATGAGAAGAACAAATTTAATTCTCCTTTCTGCTTTGCAGTTTGATACTAACATGGAAGTCCACTAAAGCCTTACTGATTTTATAAGGCTTTTTACCAAATAGTAAGGAAAAATAGTATCTTTTAAAAGAAGAGTTTTTTTTACTGTGTTTGTAGGCTTGCCTCCTTTTTTCTCACATGCTTATGAAAATCATTTAAAATCTGGAAGCTGTATAGTCACTAGATTCGTCTGGATCTTATCTAATTTGAAAAGTACAAATCATTAGTTTCCTTTGTGAAACTATGCAGATGTTACATTGACTTTATCTGTTTTTAACTGCAGACAAAAAGGGTGTTTTTATTTTATTCTGTATTGTCTGTGAGAGCATGGATTTGTTGGATTAATCCCCCCCTTTTTTTTTTGCCCTAAAGTGGAACGTGTTGTTCCCATGAACTAAATTACCCAAGAAGATGTCTGCCATTCAACTGTATTGTGAAAAATAAACAAGTATCAAAATGTTGTGTTTTTTTTTACTTTAATGAATTTTCTCTCGCTCAGGAAAGGCAAGAAAATGTCCAGAAGATTGTCTTGGAAGGCACAGAGAGAATGGAAGATCAGGTAAGGTGCAGATTGCATATTACAAGACACTGCCAAACCCACTACATATGTCTGTATAAAGCTAAGGGCTGCTTCTGTTAAGGCCTTGAAGACATACTAGCTTGACAGAGTGAGCCTGAGCACGAACAGAATCTTTATGGAGATAAATGGAATAAACTGGATGAAAATTTCCATATCTTAGACCTGAAAAGTTAAATAAGTAAAGGATAATAATAATTGCATCCACAAATTAATATTTTGCTTCCCTTTTTTTCTGTTTGCATGGGCTAAGTTTTGGATAACTTGTTCATAGTAAAAATTTTAAATTCTATATTTTTAAGGTATTGCTTCTCAAACATTTCCACAGAAGTAGTTGTAACAGGAGAGTGAGTGCCCCGAAAGTATCTGGGGGTACAGACACAGCTCTAAGCATAATATTTCTTTGAAGTCTCATGTTGTATCTTTAAAACTCATGCAATTTACATTTTATTCCATGATATATCTTTTTGTTTTAATATTACAGTTTGCCGGTGATATTCCTCACCTTCTTACCACTTGGGCTTTCAGTGGTATCAAGTCTCCAGGAAAACATGCTGTGTTTATCCCATGGTTTTGAACATCCTTAGGGAGCGGGCACCAGGGTTTGAGAAGCATGATTGCAAGGGTATGGCTTCCCTTATGGAAATTAATTGCAAAACATTGCAGCCTAGGACAGAGGCGTTTGGAAGGCGAATCCCCAAAGGAAAAAGTGTTCTTTGCTTTTACTTTCATTGCTTCTGGCCACCCTCCTTGCTCCTCTGTTAAAACTCCAGTCTAAACAAGCCTTCTCCCTGGTTCTCTTTAGCCTGCCTGAGACAAATGATATTTATTTATTTATTTTTTTTATAAATTTATTTATTTATTTTTTGGCTGTGTTGGGTCTTCGTTTCTGTGCGAGGGCTTTCCCTAGTTGTGGCAAGTGGGGGCCACTCTTCATCGCGGTGCGCGGGCCTCTCACTGTCGCGGCCTCTCTTGTTGCGGAGCGCAGGCTCCAGACGCGCAGGCTCAGTAGTTGTGGCTCACGGGCCCAGTTGCTCCGTGGCATGTGGGATCTTCCCAGACCAGGGCTCGAACCTGTATCCCCTGCATTGGCAAACAGATTCTCAACCACTGCGCCACCAGGGAAGCCCGACAAATGATATTTTAAACAATAACTTTTTCTAAAAGTTTGTCAAAATACAGGAACATGAACAAGGGAAATACAAAACCCTATAAAATGATCTTCTTTACAAAATTGTTAAGTTTGTACTTTTGTAAATAACTTTTACAAAAGTCAGAAGGAGGTAATTATGGGGCAAGTTCTAAGACTTACAAGGAAATGTTTCCCTTCACTCAGAGAAGCCCAGCCTTTGCTTGCTGGTCACTAAGCAGGGTGCCAAGGAATGGGATGAATTTCACCAACTTCTAGATGTACGGAGTAACTAGTCAAGTTATCTCAAAATAACGAAATTTAAGACCCAGTAAAATTCTACTTTTTCTGGGATTTTTTTTCAAACCAGAAACCTGTACTTATAAAGTTGACCACTATTAACATTTAGGTTTATTTCTCGTTTAAGGGCTTTTCTTGAAAATGTTATCCTATCCCTTCTATGTCAGGAGTAAAGTATACTTGGACAAACTGGAGGTTTTTAAAGGGGAAACGTTCACCTGCTGAAAAGTTCAAGTTAGAGAAGTCCAAGGAGGAAATAACTGGAAGCATTTTCTTTTAGAGCCTCTTCTGTGTTCAGCCGTCTAGGATTTGTCATTGTTGTTAAGCTTCAATGAGCATAGCCATTTGCTTATGATGATAAATGTCTGAGATGCTGTAAATGACATACTATATATGCCTGCACCTAAGGGAAGGTATTTTCCCATAACTATCCTTTCTGAAAAGGAGGAGTCACCTGATAATTGAGTTCTTGCAAATCTCATATCATGTGCTTGCAGTGACTTTATTTTGAACAATAAATACTGTTTGAGGATGATACTTAGTCTAAAACAACTTTAATCAGTGCTAGTTTTAGATGCTTATAGCTGTCATCTGATAAAATCATTTTACAAGGAAGCAAATTTAACGCAGCTTCAGTTATTAATCTTCTTGAATTGCATGTGTTGATTGTTGTAATTGTAAGCAGACATTTAAAAAATTACTTTGAAAAGCAAAAACAATGAGTGGTTTTATGTTTGTAAGTTACTACAGGATGGATTTTTTTTTTTTTTGAATAATAAAACCTCCTCTGTGATGCAAGGGGGCCTATTAGGATAAAATTTCCAGAGACAGCATCACATTTATATTCTGAAGCAACTTATATGATAAGGGGCTCTGAAAACTAGGTTTGGTCACTCAAAAAAAGGACTGACTGCAAGGATGACAGAGGTTCTAATTTGAATATGCATGTAAAGAGTTTGAATATAATCATTTCAAAAAACGTGAATGAGGGGAAAAGTTTTATTGTTAGATCTTACATAATAGGTGATTTAAAAAAATTTTTTTTAACATCTTTATTGGGGTGTAATTGCTTTACAATGGTGTGTTAGTTTCTGCTTTATAACAAAGTGAATCACTTATACATATACATATGTTCCCATATCTCTTCCCTCTTGCGTCTCCCCCCCTCCCACCCTCCCTATCCCACCCCTCCAGGTGGTCACAAAGCACCGAGCCGATATCCCTGTGCCATGCGGCTGCTTCCCACTAGCTATCTACCTTATTTTTGTTAGTATATATATGTCCATGTCTCTCTCTCGCCCTATCACAGCTCACCCCTCCCCCTCCCCATAGCCTCAAGTCCATTCTCCAGTAGGTCTGTGTCTTTATTCCTGTCTTACCCCTAGGTTCTTCTTAACATTTTTTTTCTTAAATTCCATATATATGTGGTAGCATACGGTATTTGTCTTTCTCTTTCTGACTCACATATATACAATGGAATATTACTCAGCCATAAAAAGAAACGAAATTGAGCTATTTGTAATGAGGTGGATAGACCTAGAGTCTGTCATACAGAGTGAAGTAAATAATAGGTGCTTTTAAAACATGCGTAGCTAAAAATTGATAGACATATGACAGTTTCATCTGCCTCTAAAAGTTTACATATTCAGGATGGGCAAAACATTTTGGGGGAGTGGTGGTGGCAGTGAATAAGTGAGGGAGCACCCGTATTTGAGACGCTTTATGTGTGTGGTGTTCTGTATTGAATTTTCAGTTTCATTCTAGAAACTGCAGATTTTAAAATTACATCTTTGAGATGTAATAAGTAGTAGCATTACCTTGAAAGAACACTGAAGGAAATTTGTCTGCTTTATTGATTCTTAAAAATATATGTTATGACTTTGATTTGCATTTGGGTAGATTATACCTTATTATGAATGTAGAGATTGAGGGGGTTTTTTAGATTTTTTTTTTTGATGTGGACCAATTTTAAAGTCTTTATTGAATTTGTTACAACACTGCTTCTGTTTTATGTTTTGGTTTTTTGGCCGCGAGGCATGTGGGATCCTAGCTCCATGACCAGGGATCGAACCTGCACCCCCTGCATTGGAAGGCGAAATCCCAACCACTGGACCACCAGGGAAGTCCTGAGATTGGGTATTGATTCACACTTTACTACTGAGTTATCTGCTGAGGATTTCAAAGCCTTTTTATGCTTGGCTTTCCTCATTTTTAATATAAAATGCATCAGTGACCTTTGATTAACAAAAGTTCTTATATCTCAAACAAAATTTCAAAGGAGAACCTTTCTAAATTTGGTGTGGTGATTTAATTATTTTGTGTAAATGATAAACCAATGATTCCATTCTGACGAAAGAAAATTATTCCTGGGATTTCCCTGGCGATTCAGTGGTTAAGACTCCATGCTCCCACAACATTGCAAAACAACTGTAGCCCCAATAAAAAAAGAAAACAAAACTGTATACTTTTAATGAGTAACATATTCTAGGCATACTATGGGATATGGGAAACTTTCCCGTAATAAAGATATTTAATTAACAACAACAAAAAAGTCTTCATGCTCGCAATGCAGGGGGTACGGGTTCGATCCCTGGTTGGGGAACTAAGATCTCACATGTCGCATGGTGCAGCCAAAAAAAAAGAGAAAAAAAGAAAATTATTCCTGGAAGAATGAAAAAGAGTTTTAAATAGCATGTAAATCCTTTAGAAATAGAAATATTTTGGAGTAGTAGACTTGTTTGGGGCTGTTTGAACAAGTTGTCAAGTATTCCTATCAAAGGGTGTTATTCTTTGCTTTCAGTTTTTTATTTTTTATTGCCCACTTTGTCCTATATTGTGTGATTTTTCTTCACCTCATTTTACTTTTTTATGCAGGGTCAGAGTATTATTCCAATGCTTACTGGAGAAGTAATTCCTGTAATGGAACTGCTTTCATCTATGAAATCCCACAGTGTCCCTGAAGAAATAGATGTAAGTTCTCACTTGTAATGTTAAATAGGATATTACTATGATGTATATTAGTAATATTCTAATTTTAGTAATATACATTTTTTTGTCATATATACTGTTCATATGAATTATTAGCCACTTTAACAAACACACTTAAAATCCTGAATTTTATGGCCAGAGGCTTTTTGGTCAGTAATGGTAATATGATAAAATTAAATTCATTAAGTTAATTTCTCCACTTTTGTATTTCCTAAGCGGGAGAATTTCAGACCTTAGAGAATCCATCAGTATTTAATGCAGTACTTTTTGTAACAAAGCAGTGTACAAATCACTGGCAGTTAATGGAAGTTCACTTACCTTCACTAATCTGATTTCCTTAATCATTCATTTGTTGAGGACATTAGGAATTACACACTATGCATGTATAGAGAAATCTTTAGGAAACTATCTTTATTGCTCCCTGACTTGGTAATTAAGATGTGTCTCCTGATTGTGACAGCTCAGAAGAGGAAATTGTTCTTGTAAACATTGTTGCTTAAGCTGTCTGACCAGCTTTCACATCATTTGTTCTGCAAGTTTATAGTGATGCACACAGATTGTTTTATGGGGATTTGTGATGGTCAGAAATGAGGGCAGTGTGTTATATTGAGCCTAGACTTCAGAAAACTTGTGTATTAAAAGTGTTATTTCAGCATTTTGTTACAGCCAGAATAATTTTTTTTTTTTGGTTCATTTTAGATAGCTGATACAGTTCTCAATGATGATGATATTGGTGACAGTTGTCATGAAGGCTTTCTTCTCAAGTAAGAATTTTGTTTCTTTTTGTAAAAACTGGGTGGAGCAGATGCAAATCTTCCGCTCACCTGTGACAAGATTGGGAAGGAAGAAAATAATAACAGAATGCCTACCTTCATTATTCTAGGGTCAAAAATGCATATTTGAACTATTGCTTAGTTTTGTGTTACTTCTTTACTTATCACATGCCTATGATATATTTGATGTTACTCTATTTAATATTTAAAGCAGCTGAATTTCCGTAGTACTCAGGCAAGAATTCTTGGACCCTTGTTTGGTTCCGGTTTCTTGTTTTTCTTCTCATTAAAGCTGGAACTAAGAATCCTTTCAAATTAAGTTGCATTGTGGATAGACTTATTTCGGCCTAGAAAAGAAAATTATTCATATTTGTACTGATCCTTTCCATTTTACAACAGATTTCAGTGCTTAAAAGTGTGAACTCTAAAACCAGACTTCCTGGCTTACGCCTGTGTGACTCTGGGCAAACCACCTGAACTCTCTGTTCCTCCATTACCTCATTTATAAAATGGGAATATTAGTAGTACCTACTTCATAGGATTGTTGTAAGCCTTGAGTGAGATAAATCATATTAAGCATTTAAAACAGTGCATGGCACATATAAGCACATAATAATAGCTAATAGCTTACATTTTCTATTTATATTTCTTCTAAGAAAATGATAATAACAATAATAATAGCCAGTATTTATTGAGTGCCTATGTGCTAAGTCCCTTAACTGAGTACTGCATCTACATGTATAATAATCTCATCTCCTACTTGAGTGTTTCTTTACAATTACAGATTATCAAAAAATTTTATTTTAAAAAATAAGGAGTGAAAGGATAAAGTATTTGCTTTTATGTCTACAGTCTTCTCCTTTAGGTTCATGATGGAGTCTTAGAGGCGTGAGTTTGTTTAATCTCCAGGCCTTACATGGCTTGAATCAGGAGCTCTTTAGTCCTGATTCTGATCAGTGTCAGCCATTCATGTTATTTTTAATCCCATTTGACTTCAAATTAACCACTTAACCTCTCTACACCTCAGTTTCTTCCACGATAAAATGGTATTATTTTACTAACTGCATTGTTTTAAGGTTCAAATAGAATCTGTGAGAGGCATGTGGTGGAAAATGCAAAGTACTATAGAAATAAAAGATGACATTATAATCAGAGTTTTGGTGTTCATCATGTAAAGCTATTCAGAGTTATTTGAAGCTCACTTTATTATTATTTTTTTTTAGTTTGTGAAATTGTTTTACAGTCAGTGTTTTTAATCTTTTTTTTTTTTTTTTTTTTTTTTTTTCAATTTATAGTGCCATCAGCTCCCACTTGCAGACGTGTGGCTGTTCTGTTGTAGTAGGTAGCAGTGCGGAGAAAGTAAATAAGGTAATTTATTTTATAATCCAGCAAACGATCTGACTTTTTAAAACTGCTAACATATTATGGATTGTAATTTAAAGGTTAGGTTGCCATCAAGATGATCTAATAGTATAAGGAGGCAATATAATCTGACCAAATTACTGTGACACCCTGTGGCAATAATGAGTTTAAAGTAAACTGTTTGAATAGGAAATCATTTATCAGTTTCGTTGTGATAATTCATAAATACTTGTCTCAGTACTGTATAAATGGTTTTGAGAATATTTTAAGGTCAGATGTTTTAAAAATATTTGTCTTCTATTTCCTAATGTTATCTTTAATAAATGTGAAGATAGCCATGTACTTTTGGTACTAATTACAAAGAAATGGTATCTGATCATTCATCTTGATTTCACTATCTTTCTTTTCCCCCTAAATCTATTCCTTTTAGGGACCTATTGCTATTAAGTGATCGATGGAGGTTATATCTTATTCAGTAACATTTGTGACCATTTGTTTTAGTGCTATATGAGTTAATAAATAATTAATGAACAGTTACCTTTCCAAGCATTAGGTAATAAACTAAGGAATTTTGTACTTTTCTTCACTGATGATTAATTAGAGAGAGAAAAGTGCACATATCTATCAATTTAAGCAAACCTAATTTTTCTAAGTTTTACACAGGAAATATATTAGGAATGATTATTTGCTTGACAAATATATTCATAATTTTTTTTCTGTAATATAATAAGCTACCCTGTATAATTACTTGACCCTTGATTTACCAAAATTATATTTCTGGTACAACCATTTATGACAGGTTACCTTACCTCTATTATTATATTGCATCTAGTGACTTGTTATTATTTCTGTTACCCAAGGAAGGTAGTTTTCAATTTGTGTCCTCCAAAGCCTTCAGGTTCCACAGGACCTTCCCAGTTGCTTCTTGGAGGGAGAAAGCCTCCATGGTTGGGGCTCTGTTTTTCAAACATTTTTCTCATCCCACATCCTCTTCTAACTTAATAGCTTCTCTTTTACCTTTTCTCTTTTTAATTTAAGAAAAGGTTGCCATCACTAGTTTGAAAACCACTGCGTTAATATAAAAACTCTGAATATAGTCTGAAATCCAAGGTAGTTAGATGGCTTTTTATTTTTCCTAATAGAACTATGATCAGATCCTGTTAGAATGATAGGTTTCTAATCCCCAACCAATGGCTTGCTTATTTTAAATTAAATTTGAAAGAATTAATTCTCATTCTGTTGAAGGAGTTAGACACTTAGACATTCATTGTAATGGGATTTTACATATAGGACTATTAACAGAAGCCATAATTCTGCTTGATTTAACTACATTTAGTTTTCTCGTCCAAACGGTTTACTCGTTTGAAACACACTTGTTGCTGGGTGGAGATACAATCAATAATTATATTAGGTCATTATTTCCTAATATAAGATTAGGAATAAGGGTTCCATGGTCAAATAAGTTTGAGAAAGTCTGCATATTGTTTCAGTTACCTGGAGAGTCACAATATGTATTCAAATGTTAAAGGTTTTGAGATACCATACAGTAAATTTACTAACATTTCCCAAACTTACTTGACCACAGAATACCTATTTTAAGCAACAAGTGTAATATCCCATAGACCATTCCAGGTGACTATGGAATACTTATTTCTCAGAATAGATTTTATTGACAATAACAATTGAAATTTCTATTCAGATCTCTTTCATAAGCAAACCAGTGACCTTTTTACTTCATATTTTAATGTTAAAATATTTTCACTTACAGATAGTAAGAACATTATGCCTTTTTCTGACTCCAGCAGAGAGAAAATGCTCCAGATTATGTGAAGCAGAATCATCATTTAAATACGAGTCAGGGCTCTTTGTACAAGGCCTACTAAAGGTATAGTTTCCATTTATCACGGGTGAACCCATTTCTTTAAAATCATTTTTGAGAATCTTTATACATATATTTTGAACATTAGCATTTAATGTGTCTCATGTTTATATGCCAAGGATCTGACTTCCTTTACACAGGTCTGAACATGGAGTATATGTCATATGAATGTATAGTTAGTATCTGTGAAACATCACAGAATAGCTTTCTTTGTGTTTCTCTCTGGTTTCCTGTAGCTGCCTGTCTGGCCTCAGGATTTTTTTTTTTTAATACGTGCTTGAATCAGGTTCCATAACTAAATGGGAATATTTCTTTTTTTACTGAACGGATTTGAATTTTTGTGTTACCATTTTATGTTTAAAGTACCATATTCATTTACTGAAAAAACGTTAAGCTGCTTCCTATCTTGAAACAGTGTACAGGACTCAAGCAATTCCCAGATGTGTGTGTGTGTGTGTGTGTAGACACACACACATATATACAAAAGAAAAAATTATTTTATATTTTTCCTTTATTTACTTGAGTCTGCTTTTCAAGGAGCAACACAGATAAATATAAATTAGCAATTATTTTCAATAATTATGGGGAATCGTTTTTCACTTTATTGAATCTATTACTGATGTTTCAAGTATAGTCAAGGGTGTGAAGAAGTAGATTTCCTAATGGCTCTGTGAGTCTCTCCGAGTGAATGCTTTCTTGAGGATATAGGCATAGTAAAATGAAAGAAAAAAATACTAAAAATTGTTGCAAATAAAAATTATTTTCAGCTTTTACATTTTCAATAATGTGCGTGCTCTGAGCTGAGAATAATAGTGTTGTTTAAATACAGAAACTACTTAAAGGGAACTCATTTTTGGTTTGAATTGTACAAATCTGAAAATTAGAACTTCTCCTATCAAAGGCATAATAAGGTACTTAGTACTTTTATCTCCTCGGCATCATCTCATTTATTGTATAGTTTTATCCCTAAAAGGGACCTATACCAAATGCATAGTGGAAAACTTGAAACTATAATTTAATGAAAAAATATTTGTTAAGAGTTTTCCACGCAAGTTTAAATTGTATAGCTTTCCAGAGAATACTTTGACATTATAACAGTACGTACTTGTTATATGGCAGCTGGCGACCCAACTGATTATACCTGGAAAGAAGTACATGTTTTACTTACTGTAAAAATACGTATTCATTGAGACTTAACAGAATATATGAATAATCAAGAAGAATGTAAAAAGTCACTTGTAATCTCATAATCCAATGAATAACCCCTGTTAATATTTGGCATGTATCTTTCTGGTCTTTTTTTCTTCTGTTAGTGTTTTTTCATATCTTCCCCTCCCCCCCAAAAATTAGATTATACTCTGCATGTTTTAACTTCATTTTTCACACTGTATTGTGAACATCTTTCAATATGAACACATAAACATTGGCAACTCAATTTTTAGCAGCTAGACAATAAACCATTTTTATTTATTTAATCATTTCTCTTTTTGGATACTTAGGTTGTTTCTGGCTTTTTACTGTCTAACCCAGTGCTGTAACACACACATCACTGGAATTTGGCACACAATCATGATTCATTTTCCAGGATAAATTTCTAGAGCTGTATTTGCTAAGTTAAAGCCAGTTGTATTTTTTTTAATTAAAAGATAGTTCTTCGTACCTTTTGGCGTAAAAGACAGTAAATTTTCTTTTTCTGGGGTTTTATCTTGTTCCTTCATCTGGTACACAGTCCTCTGCCTTTTCATCTTGTCTGTCTTTCTGTGAATGTGGTTTTCATTCCACAGGCTGCAGGATTGTAGTTCTTCTTGCTTCTGCTGTCTGCCCTCTGGTGGATGAGGTTATCTAAGAGGCTTGATGGGAGGGACTGGTGGTGGGTAGAGCTGACTGTTGCTCTGGTGGGCAGAACTCAGTAAAACTTAAGTCCACCTGACTGCTGATGGGTGTGGCTGGGTTCCCTCCCTGTTGGTTGTTTGGCCTGAGGCAACCCAGCACTGGAGCCTACCTGGGCTCTTTGGTGAGGCTAATCGCGGACTCTGGGAGGACTCACGCCAAGGAGTACTTCCCAGAACTTCTGCTCCCAGTGTCCTTGTCCCCACGGTGAGCCACAGCCACCCCCCACCTCTGCAGGAGACCCTCCAACACTAGCAGGTAGGTCTGGTTCAGTCTCCTATGGGGTCACTGCTCCTTACCCCTCGGTCCTGATGTGCACACTATGTGTGTGCCCTCCAAGAGTGGAGTCTCTGTTTCCCCCAGTCCTGTCAAAGTCCTGCAGTCAAATCCCACTAGGCTTCAAAGTCTGATTCTCTAGGAGTTCCTCCTCCCATTGCCAGACCCCAGGTTGGGAAGCCTGACGTGGGGCTCAGAACCTTCACTCCAGTGGGTGGACTTCTGTGGTCTAAGTGTTCTCCTGTCTGTGAGTCACCCACCCAGCAGTTATGGGATTTGATTTTATTGTGATTGCACCCCTCCTACCGTCTCATTGCGGCTTCTCCTTTGTCTTTGCATGTGGGGTATCCTTTTTGGTGAGTTCCAGTGTCTTCCTGTCGATGATTGTCCAGCAGTTAGTTGTGATTCCGGTGTTCTCTCAAGAGGGAGTGAGAGCATGTCCTTCTACTCCGCCATTCTGTGCTGTGAGTCACCCACCCAGCAGTTATGGGATTTGATTTTATTGTGATTGCACCCCTCCTACCGTCTCATTGCGGCTTCTCCTTTGTCTTTGCATGTGGGGTATCCTTTTTGGTGAGTTCCAGTGTCTTCCTGTCGATGATTGTCCAGCAGTTAGTTGTGATTCCGGTGTTCTCTCAAGAGGGAGTGAGAGCATGTCCTTCTACTCCGCCATCTTGGTTCCTCTCTCAGTAAATTTTCTTTTCGTTTATAACAGGATTCAACTGGAAGCTTTGTGCTTCCCTTCCGGCAAGTCATGTACGCGCCCTATCCCACCACACACATAGATGTGGACGTCAACACCGTTAAGCAGATGCCACCCTGTCACGAACATATTTATAATCAGCGTAGATACATGAGATCAGAGCTGGCAGCATTCTGGAGAGCCACTTCAGAAGAAGACATGGCTCAGGATACCATCATCTACACAGACGAAAGCTTCACTCCTGATTTGTATGTCGTGCCCTGCTTTTTGATATTGTCATCAAGCAATATTTGGAAACTGTATCTTTTATGAGTAGAAAGAAAACAAACAATTTGGTGTTTGAAAGGAAAGAAATATTACTAGGAGAATTATACTGGAAGAAGTATTTGGTTAATCAAGCATTTTTTCTTAAATGTCAGCTTTTCTTAATATAATTGTGTTTCCCATAAGATAGGTTAGATTAGTCCTTAAAAATAAGTATTTAAGTATTTATTTAACAAAGGTATATTGAGCCCCTAGGCGCAGTACTTGGTGCTAAGGTTAATAGTGGGCAGTCAGACAGCCCCAGCTCCTTACATTGCTTATAGACTAGTGTGTAAGAGTCATAAAAGGCTTATTAACTAAACCTTATTAACTAAAGAGTTAATTCTAAGTCTGTTTTTCCTTGATATATAAATATAAAATATGGCAAAACTGTCAAAATATATTAATAGAGCATTCTTTTACTTTGCATTTTATATTGTGTTATTCATTTCTTACCATAAAGTCTGATCAGTAAATTAACAAGAAAAAAACTAATGATAATAACATGTTGAATGTGGACTCAACTAGAAAAAAAAAAAGATGATAAATCTGAATTATAAAACACTTAAATGATGTTCTGAAATCAGGAAAAGAAATTGTAGTATACTATCATGGTTCTCTTTAATCAGTTTAAAATGCCTGACACATAGAATGTGCTCAATAAATGTTAACTAGTATAATCCAGGTTTGAGTGTATAAGGCAGCAGTAAAATTGGAGCAAGCAACCCTGTCCTGTGTCTTGAAGAAAAATTTTTGAGCTGAGGCAACAGACATGTGAAGCACCAATAGTCAGACAGAAGGTGTTGCCCAAAAGCATAGCAAGGAAACACCATGTCCAAGGGATCCCCAGCCTCATGTGTCTCTAGGTGCAGAAAGATGGCTTCATTAGGACCCAGCTTTTCCCAGCTCTCTGGTGTTCTTGTTGGGTCCTTTGAAAGATTTAGGGGAATTGGTTTAGAAAACAAAACAATAAGAATTTCAGGTCCCGAAGTTTTCACATATAGGTAATTTTGGCACACGTGTCACAATTCTCAAAATTAATCTGATCCTTCAAGCATTTTCTTCTTTCCTAAAGTGTTTGGGTTTTTTTTTCTATATTTTGGTGGGTTCCTGGAGAGCGTTTTGGGGGGAATTTTTTAACACTTTGCTTCACCTAATTCACATATGACCAATACAATCAATTTATGAAACAGGTATGTTCAGAACACTAGACTTAAATAGCTGAATTCTCTCCAAAGCCAGAGAAAGGTTGTTGTCAGTGCCCACACTAGCCACCGGTTGGATAGCCAGTAATTGTGAAATGCTGATTTCTCCCCCTCTGAGTTTCCTTCTTCTGTAGTAGGGAACACCCACCTGCTAAAACTAGGACATTTTAGGTAGTTTCCTATTACCTCTGCACACACACCTCCTTCCCTGCTACTCCTGTCAGTTATATGATGATCCCTACTATTTTCAGTCTTTCTTTTCAGTTAAAAATTGCTTACCTTAGTAAATGTTATATTACCCTCTGACTTGAGTATAACCTAGCATCCCAGTAAATTCCTTAGGGAAGTAGAAGGCAAGGAAAGGGAAGGAAGAAGAGAAAAGATCAAAGGGGGTTGGGAAAGGGACAGTCTTTTTTAAGAACCTACCATATCCTAGGTTGTGTGGTAGATAAACATTATCTCAAGTGTGAATTACAACTTACCTTCTTACTCTGCTGATTGCCAATTTAGCTAACATTTTCTTAGGTAGCTGATTCATGTTACTTGCCAGATGATGCGCTTGTGGATACAAACCCAGTGATCAAGATGTTGCAGATAACCATCTGTGTGTGTTCCTTAATCCCACCTGAATGTTTCCCAGCATTCGTCCCCTTACCTTTTTTTCTTCCTAAACTGCTTATTAGAAGTTATTAGTATGTGAAGTTAACCTTTTATTTTGTTTTGGTTTTTGGTGGTAGTGGTATGTGTTTATTTTTGTTGCTGTTCTATATTTTTGAGATGGCAGGAATTGGTAATTATATTTATTAATTGCCTAAGGCTCTCGGTATTTTTTTATAATGTGTATGATAGATACATACATACCCTTCCCGGGACTGCTTATACTATTTAAGAGAAAATAATTACTTTGTGGCCTGACAAACTCCAGTAATAGACAAATGTATCCTTGAGTTAAAATGAGTATGTATTTTATATTTTCAAATATATATATCTAATTCTTATAGATATGTTTATAATCCCACTTCTAAGAATTTAATTTATTGGCTGGTGTGAGAGGTTGTGGAAGTCATTTCAACATTTGTCCTGTTTTCTTCATAGGAATATTTTTCAAGATGTCTTACACAGAGACACTCTAGTAAAAGCCTTCCTGGATCAGGTAAATGTTAAACCTGAGATTGTCAGGGTGAATGGTATGACATGTTTTCTTTTTCAATATATTCCACACTGCCTATACTATATATATAATTTAGAATTAAGTCCTTTTGTAGAGTCTGTGATCTTTCTAAAGTGTCAAAATTATTTTTCTTCTGAATTGTTAGAGGGGAGTAGCCTGTATATTAACAATTAAAGATGCAGCATCCCCCAGTTCAAATAATAAATGTTTTAATTCTAAGCACTAACTTATAACCCAAGGGTGTTTTCTTTTGGTAAGGGGGATATTGTACAAATGTTTATTTGCCTTAATTGAGCAAAAAATGTCTTTAAAACTTATTTACATAATAGCATCTTTATTGTCTCATTCATTTGAAAAAAATCTAGATTTTGAAGAAAATTTTAGATTATATGGGTCTTATTTCTTAAGATAACAGAGATTTGTCATAATTATCTTTCTGGGCATCAGGCCAAGAAATAGTGTCATAGATGTAGCTTTGAAATAACATAATCGTTAGGTTGACTAGGAAGTTTGGATCCAGGTCTATGTGGTCTGTGACATATTGCAAAGTTCAAGGGTAATTCCAAGTCATGTAATTCCATGCTTCCCAAGCAGAAATAAAATCCTTCTACCACTACACATGTACCGCCACCCCCACAGAATAGAAAAATATGAATATCTCAAAACCATAGTCTAGGACTTGCCTGGTGGTGCAGTGGTAAAGAATTCGCCTGCCAACACAGGGGACACGGGTTCGAGCCCTGGTTGGGGAAGATCCCACGTGCCGTGGAGCAACTAAGCCCGTGCGCCACAACTACTGAGCCTGTGCTCTAGAGCCCGCGAGCCGCAACTATTGAAGCCCGCGCGCCTAGAGCCCATGCTCTGCAGCAAAGACAAGCCACCACGATGAGAAGCCCGAGCACCGCAGCGAAGAGTAGCCCCCGCTCACCGCAACTAGAGAAAGCCCGCGTACAGCAACGAAGACCCAACACAGCCGAAAATAAATAAATAAATAAATAAATAAATTTATTTATTTAAAAAACCCCATAGTCTAAGCATGGCTCACCTCTGGTAGCTCCAATTTTATTTGAAGATGTGGGCAGAGAAAACTTAAATAACACAGCTAGAAGTAACTTATATCATGATTTTTAATAATAAATAAAATGAACACGGATATAGTCTAAGGCAGAAGGAAAAATTTGAGTCAATTCTTAAAGATAAAACAGAACTGTTAGATAGATCACTCCTAGACCCATACCTCCACCTGCTCCTGTGTGTCAGGGTGCATCTATGGAAGTGGTTAGCTGCTCTAACGTGAGTTATCCGCCAGGCACTGTCAGCGCTGAGACAGAAACATGCTGTGTATAAGTAGAACGGGGCAAATTATTTATAAAAACGCTTCATTATCCTGCAGGTCTTTCATTTGAAACCCGGTCTATCTCTCAGGAGTACTTTCCTTGCACAGTTTCTGCTCGTCCTTCACAGAAAAGCCTTGACACTAATAAAATATATAGAAGATGATACGTAAGTCAGACTCCTAAGTGAAAGAAAAACCTTCATACGTTGCTTTTGTTTTGTTCCCTTTGGACATTTTCTGTATTTTAATTTCTTTTTTATTATTATTTGTAGGCAGAAGGGGAAAAAGCCTTTTAAATCGCTTCGGAACCTGAAGATAGACCTTGATTTAACAGCAGAGGGCGATCTTAACATAATAATGGCTCTAGCTGAGAAAATTAAACCAGGCCTCCATTCCTTTATCTTTGGAAGACCTTTCTATACTAGTGTCCAAGAACGAGATGTTCTAATGACTTTTTAAATGTGTAACTTGTTAATATTTGCGTCACGATCATAATTGCTGGTAAAGTAGCTCCGTGGTATTGGGAAACATGATTCCCTCGGGTTATGCCCTAGAGTCCTACTCAGCAATGGTAGTTAGTTACACTGCAGTTGTCACAGAAAGCCCGTAAGGGGATGTTAGGTGCAGTTACAATAAATGCACCTTTTCCTAGATGTGCTCTCTTGGGAGACAGACGTATGTTTACAATTATAGTAAATATTATTGCTATCTTTTAAAGATATAGGATATAAACTTGACCACAGCTACTGTTTTTTGAAACTTATGATTCATGGTTTACAAGTATCCACGTGAAATCTGAGTTAGCTCTCACAGATATAATACTAGTTGACTTTCCATCTCTTGGTGTTCCTTGGTATGTGGGATTACTGTACTACTTCTACAATCAGCTAAAAATTAGAGCGTTCAAATCATTTCAGTTCCACGAAAGGAAGTTAGCTTGAACATAGGTTAAGTTTTAGAAAGAAAATATTGATCAAGCAGATGTTTTATTGAAATCAATTGTTCGATCCTACTTTGCAGACTTAGTCCTTGGGATTCAGTCTGTGTAGAAACGTCAGGCAGTGTGTATAGTCCCGATTATGGTGAACCACAATCAGGGTGTTTTTCTGTTTGTTTGTTGAGCTCTGTCACAGAAAATGTAGAGAATTGGATTTTATGTTTCAGTAGTTATTGCCAAGTTTTTCAGTTAATTTTCATGATTTTTGAGCCAAATTGAAATGTATACCTCCTGTGCCTTTTGTTTTTCTTGGAAAATATAATCTCTTGGAAGAAGTTCAGATTTCACTAGTCTCTCATTTTTATCTTGTTTTCCTCTTGTATAGTCTTCCTCTGATTTAGCAGAGTCATTATAACTCCGAGATTATTAAATGCAATAGAGAAATACTAACTAGTAAGATTTTTTTTAGGAACAAGAATAGTATCTTCTTCCTTAAATTTCTGCCCATGTTTTTGAAGTTGTTGCCACGTCTCTGCCTGCATCGTAGGAGGACTAGCAGGAGAAAGCTACTGACATGCTATTTACTAGGTGCTACTTTGGCAGAACTAAGTGGTCAATTTCTTTTGTTTCCTTAATGTGCTTGGACCATTTTGCTAGCTATAAAATAACCAATTAACATAATTCTGTGCTAGAACAGTATTGACAAAATAGTATACACAAGCATAAAATATATTTTTATTTAAAACTGTGGAAGTAACATCAAAGGGAAA